AAAGCTGTCTCATGTCCCGATAAAATTCTTACAGCCTTCTGCCAGCTAGGTGCTCTGAGGCTGAGGGCTCGCCGTTGTTTGATTTTCTTTTTTGATGTCAATCACGCCTACATTATGGCTGAGGCGACGCAAACGCTATCGCTCGAAGATGATGCGATACACGAACCCGGAGATGAGGTCTGGATGGGCCACTCTGTTATCCCTCGCGATGTTGCCTGTTGCGAGACTACCGTCAATCTTCCATCATTGCCTATCTCCGCTGCTGCAGACAGCGACATCAAGAAAAGCGCGTTCGTAGTAAACGACCTGACCAAGCACCCGGACCTATCTACGAGGCCATACGTTACTGGCTTTCCAAATGGTCGTTTCTATGCCGGTGTGCCCATAACTACGCCATCTGGCATCAATATTGGCGCATACTGCATCCTTGACGACAAAGTCCGAGATGGGGTTTCGGACAAGGATCTCATCTTTCTGCGCGACATGTCGAAAACGGTCATGACCCATCTCGAGGCTGTGCGTGCTCTTGCCGAGCGGCAGCAAACCAATCGTATGGTGGCTGGACTTGGAGACTTTGTGCGCGGTGGGGCTTCGGATGCGGGTCGCACAGCGCCGCCAGCAACCAATATACCTCTGAAGGAGGTCGGCGTAGAAGCCCAAAATGTCCACGCTGTTGAGTATCGCCTGCCCGATGCATTGGTTGATACTATGGGAACGCCCGCTACGCCATCTTCGCAGTCGGTAACGGATTACTTTGCTATTCAGCATCAACCAAGCCCACTGGCGGACCACGCTGAAGTACTTGAAAAGGATGCTGTTTCTCCACGGCAATCAAGCGACTGCAGCGGAACCTCTTCCGCAAATCATCAGAAACATGGTTTACCCGATCGACTGGTGCGGACAGAATCTGGAAGTGTACCAAGTTTTACTGCTTCTCCGATGGAAAACTCGACGGTTCGTCCACTGCCTCGTCAGCGAGAGAATGCCGACGATCCAAAGAGTACGTATCAACGTGCCGCTGAAATTCTATGTCAATCGCTCAACATCGACGGAGTTGCCTTTCTCGACGCGTCTGTCCGAGTATTTGGCGGGCTGAGCAACGATCAGAATGCTGAGTCTGTCGAAGGCAGTACTGCTGAGAGCGGCGATTCTACAGGCACCTTTTCACATTCAGATTCTGCAGCTAAGCCACGAGTCAAGCGCGCAAGAGTCTGTCAGGTGTTAGGTTGTGCACAAACTTTGCGTAACGATATGCTGGGAATGAATCATCCCAAAGATCAGCCTCCCAAAAAGTTAACGGAAGTGTTCTTACGTAAGCTTATGAATCGTAATCCGCACGGAAAAATCTGGACTTTTGATGAAGACCTCAAAACGCATTCGGAAGATGGCTTTTCTTCGGACGAATCTGGCGCCGGTATCGACGCTGCTGCAGCGCTATCACCGAGTATTCAGCAACGTAAAGCCGCCCGTAGAGATCGAAGGAGTGACGGAGAAATTTTGCAAGCGGCATTCCCAGGGGCGCGATGCATAGCACTCAGTGGCATTTGGGATTATACGAGAAAACGGTGGGCAATTGCGGGTCTGTACTGGACTCTTGATCCGTTCAGGACTATTGCCAAAGAAACAGAGATGCAATACGTTGCTGCTTTCTGTGACATCATCGTTGCCGAAACCAAACGTCTTGAAGTGGTGGGAACCGACAAAGCCAAGTCAGACTTCATTTCAAGCATATCTCATGAGCTCCGATCTCCGCTGCATGGTATTCTTGGATCATGCGAGTTATTGTCGGACCACGGGCTAGACGATACAGCAATGACGTTTCTCGAACAAATAGATTCATGCGGACGCACGTTGCTCGAAATCATCGAGCACCTGCTTGATTTCGCAAATCTCAAGAGTCAGCGATTGAGAAAGGGTTCTGTCAAGAGCTCCAAAATCAGTCGGAAGTTTTTACCACCCACCGGAAATTCTTCTGCCGATGATCTAGAAGCACTACAAAAGAGCATCGCACTAGATGCTCTGACCGAAAACACCATCGTATCCTCTATATACTCCTTTTACTATGGCCAAAGAGTCGACAAGCACACTCACCCATCGGTCATTCTTGACATTGATCGTTCTGACGGCAAGGCCTGGACATGCAGCTTAGCGACAGGCGGCTGGAAGCGCATTTGCATAAACCTCGTCACGAACGCACTGAAGTACACACCTTCCGGTTTCATTCGGGTCTCTCTAAAGCAAGAGCCCAAGCCAGGATCACGTCGACGCTTCAATGCTTTGCTTACTGTCTCCGACACTGGTATAGGCATGTCGAAGAAGTTTCAGAGCGATCGTCTTTTCCATGACTTTGCTCAAGAAGATACGTTGTCCGATGGTTTAGGCCTTGGCATGCACATGGTCTCGCGGATAATATATGCAATGGGTGGCAGGATTGAAGTCGTAAGCAATGGAGAGGGCACAGGCACTTGTGTCACTGTACTTGTGCCGCTAGAGCATAGCCAGAACAGCCCACATCGCAGTGACTCTTGGGACAAGAAAATCGTGACCTCCCCAAAAGTCTCTGGAGTTCTAAAGGTCGGCCTCGTCACAGGAACGGACGCTTCAGCAGATTTTGAGAATTCTTCGACGACAGCACAATCTTCATTGGCGATCGCTTCTGTCGAAAACAATCTCAAGTTCCTGGGCGTACAATCCGAGCGATGCAAGTGGCAAAGCGTCAGTTCATACGACCTGATAATCGTCATGGAAGCTGAACTAGCTGGATGCCTTGCGACACTACGAAACAGCAGTGCTGCAGATGATCGTTATGCAAAGAATGCCGACGGTCTTGCACCTGTGCTTGTTATATGCAACCACAATCCAAGTGCACGGATATTACGAGACTTGTGGGCGACGGACGATCTCCGGTCTTATGTAACCATGGAACATGTTGCTCTACCATGCGGCATCAAACAGATCACTCAAGCAATCTCGTCCGCTTTACGTCAGCACGAGAAGCGTAAGATGGCAGGTTCGGACATAGTAGAAGTTTATCAAGAGTCTAGAAGGGAGAGCTCAGCAGACGGTGTGGCACTACACGACATCGGGACTAACAGTCAACCCCAACTACGATCGTTTGCTCCAGTATGGGCGACGACTGATATCACTTTCGTAGAGCAGGCCTGGGCTGATTCAACGTGGTCGACTTATAAGTCAGCACATGTGCTTCCAGTACAATCGTCGCCAGCAGAAGCTCAACTTTTCTCCTCATCGACCCGTAGCATATCGGCCCCCCAGGCTGATCTGGACTCACAGTCTGCACGGATTCTGGCACCGGGTACTCCTTCAATCGAAGTCACGTCTGCACTTGGACTTTCCACCCAAATTCCAATCTTACTACTTGTCGACGACAACAACATCAATCTCAAGCTTCTCTCTACCTTCGCCAAGAAGTACAAGTACTCGCATATCCTCGCGCAGAACGGTCAGCTTGCTCTTGACGCCTTCGAGAACGCTCACAGAAATCTCAGCTCGTGTAACAGCACCGAGGCGCAAGACGTTCGCACAGTAGGAACCGGCATGCCAAATACAATTATTATGGACATCAACATGCCTGTAATGGACGGTTATGAAGCCGTTCAGCGGATCCGCCTTTACGAGAAAAAGCATCGTTTAACGGCATCCAAAATAATTGCTGTAACTGCTTTACAGTCGGAGGCTGCGCGAGCCGAGGCCATTGGTAGTGGCTTTAATATGTTCTTAAGCAAGCCGCTTAAACTGAAGGATCTAGCGAAGCTTATCGAAGTATGTTGATCAGGTAGGCCAGCACTCCTCTTGATAAGCTATAGTCGATCCGTTTCGTCGTCCTAGCATCAGACCGGGATTGAATGGCTTCTAGCGTAGCCCTTATCTTGTTCCGTTACGACGATGCCGTTCCCACCAGCTGCTCCACCGTATCGACGATACTTCCTGCTATTCTTTCCAAAGACGCAATCGGTGAGCATCAACTGGTGTGCTTCATACGATCCCAATTTTGCCCAAGGATTTGCGTCTGCTCTATACACTCGATGGCTTTGGTGGCTAGCTGTGGCGTGCTTAGAATGGTCCGAAGGCTGTCCTGTCCGGAAAGGCTGCCGAAGACGCGATTCTGGAGATCCCGATACTTGCTGCAGTGGATAAGGATATGAGCGACAGTTTGTCGTCTCGCTCCGCAGTCGCATTGGGGGCTGGTGACGTCTGGCACTCCTCGGTTGAAAGGAAGTCGTTCAGCCCTGTCTTCTCAGTCCGTAGCTGCACTAGCAGCGCGCTCTCCCACTTAGTGAGCCCCTCGTGGAGCCGGAGTACCTTCTTGGTAGGCGTTTGCGTGTGTCTGTAGGTTGCCCGGCCCTTGGTTTCTTTGCGCCAACTCGTTATCCATGCCTGTTCTGTTTGTGCTTTGCACCATCTTCTCAGCGTTGATCTATAGTGTATAGCTTCGGAGGTGCGTCTGCTGGCAGGCGTCTGCGACCATCTTCCCTCTATCCGGTGGCCTCCTTGGCCGCTTTGTCGACGGCTTCGTTCCTGGTATGCCTACATGGGCTGGTATCCATCGGACAGTCACCGGCCGACCTGTGTCCTGGAGTCCCTGGACTTGTCGCGCAATCTCCTCAAGGATATAAGCTCCCGATCGTCCTTCGGCCTTGGCTATAGACCAGATAGCAGCCTGATTGTCTGTGTAGATGGCGACGTCTTGTTGACTGCCGCCTCTATCTGCATACTCTTGTGCGATCTAGAGTGCTAGGCTGATACCTTGCAGCTCTGCTGCGTATACTGTGGATGCTGTATCTGGTTCCATGTGCACTGCTCGTGTCTGCTGCATAAGCGGACATACAGCTGCAGAGCCTATCTGTCTATTAATACCGCTGCCGTCCGTGTAGATGCTGAGGCTGTCTTCCTTTATATGCTCTCTGTCGTGTCTCTTACGTGCCTTCTCGGCTGTTTTGTCGATGTAACTTAACTTACTTGCTAACTCTATCCCACAAATGGAAAATGAGATTCGAGCCCAAGCAGCTGCTCGCTACTATTGGTGGGAATGGCAGAGGTTCCTGGTCTGTTGCTCTGCCCATCTCGCGTTCATGAACTGACTGATCGTCGAAGCTGTTCACCCGGCAACAAACCGTACATGCACCGCAAAACTGGCAACAAACTTCACCAGAGGTGCGACGTCAGATCGTGAATCGGGTCAATGCGGCGTTGAAGTACGAGAAGATTTCTGAGGCGCCGGAGGAAGTTATTGAATGGCGTATGGAGACACTCTTGAGCCGTCGATGCAGGGTAAGTTACACGAAGCTGTACTCAAAATGACGCACATGCTAAGCGTGAGAAGGATAAAGGACAGGAATAGATTGCGACAGCAACGCGTAACATTGCACGAGTCACGAACGCACATGCCGCAGGTAATCAAGACATCCCATATGCAAAGAATCATTGTGAATGTACGTGTGCCATGAGGAAGACTGTTGCCCTTCTACAACGCTGTACAATTGAGATCGCAGTGGCGCGCCACCTGTATCCACATTCATCCCCTCCGTGAACTCTTCGTTTGTGTGCCCGCCATTCCGTGTACATGGATCTGCGCTGTGATATAGGTGACTGTGTGGCTCTTGTGAAGGTGTGATCGATCGAGGGACGTGGTCATGGTCGACGAAGAGACGATGACGTGTATGCCTGGCAGGACTTGCGGCAGTGATAGGTCGTTTTCGCCAGTGCAAATTGTCCGCGTTCTCCACCCAGGTGCACACATCGACGTCGAGCGGTATAGGCTCGAGAGAGGCGCGTCTCGACGGTATTGGTCCTAGGGCGCGAGGCCGGCATTGTGCACACATCGAAGTCGGGGTTCAAAAAAGGCCGCGCGCCCTGACGGTACTGGTTCGAAGCAGACCCTAGGACGCGTCACCACTGGCTACCATCCAGAAGTCGCATACCCTCGTCTCCCAAGGTAGGAGACGAGGACAACCTGAGTCCGCTGTGGCCTTCTTGCATGCGCCAGCAGGCATGCTCTTGTGATGTTAGCTCAATACACTCTATCGGATCGCTGTACTTACTGAAATGAATCGTCGTCGTCGTCCTGGCTATTTGTCGTCGTTTTGAGAGAGGGGAAGAGGTGGACGCAAATGCGGCAAAAAGAAGCAACTACACTAAGGCCCAGGCTCAAGCTGTCGGCCGCCTTGCTGTCGCCGCGGCGAAGGTAAAGGATGCAGTTGGGTTGCAAACGACTGGCTGGTGATAAGTGCGGTATCAGCAGATTGGTGGCTGGTGGCGACAGGCTGTCTGCCTAGTCGACAGGGACATGGTGGGCCGAGCTTTAAGCTGCCTCCAACATATTTCTCTGCCCCTATGCCTGTGATCAGAAGACAGTAGACTGCTAAACGCAGGCCCACCACATAGCCCGTATAACGTTAGCCCACAATATGCGCTACAATGATCCAGAGGGAAGGCGCACGGGTGACAACAGGGCGAACGTTCTAAGTTAACGACAAACGGGTACCGCGCTCATTTATCGTGAACGCGCGATACTGCACCACTCTTACCCGTAGATACGTACGCTTTATGGGTATGGCTGGGACAACTAGGGTCACCGCTTCCTCTCACGTGATAAACGAATCAATATGGCATATGTTTAGCGTACGTTTAGGACATTATAATCAACTATTGTATTGCGTTTATCTATTTACAGAAGCGCGAGAGCGAACATGGACCACACACTAAACCTCATTGTCGTACCGGTAGAACTAAAGATGGGCGGGGCTATGGCTACTGAGCTGATACTGGAGTTTGCGGACAACGTACTAGTAGGTGTTAGATACGTGTTTGCTTTGCTTGTTGTTAGATGAACTGAGGGCAGCTCGCATACACCGTTAGTCGGCGTTGCTGTGGCTTCGACGCCCGCCAAGGCGTTGTGGAGGAACTGAGCATGCGCTCCGTGTGGATTCAGACTGAACACCATCCCCGCCTGGCAATGAGAGCGCTTTGCTGTTTGAGCGCAAAAGAACCATTTCGCTTCCTGACTCGTAACCTCGATTTCGACGATGAATTTTTCGCTCACGTTAGCCGGATTGTACTGTCGAAATCCAGTGTCGAATTTCTGGCTGCTGTGACATGGATTCCAAAGATCACTCTCAGTCAATGTATGATTCAGTCCCAGGAAATTGAAAGCGATGATTGAACCAGCAGAAACGTTCAGCGATGACGGCGAGAAGACAAGTTCCCCTGCTTCGCCGACAGTGACAGTAGTTGTAGGTCGAGACCCACTTGCAGTGCCCGTAGATTGCGGGATGTGTGTTGCGTTCCAGCCTCGAAGCGAAGTAGTGTTCCAAGACCCACGTAATGTAAGGGAGCTATCTATCGCAGTTGCGTGCAGTGCGGGGGACTGGACGGCCGAGTCTCGCTTTGAGGTCGCCTGCAAGCAGGGCGGGGTAACGCACGTTGTGGCAGCCAGCACAACGGTGCTAAAATACGCTAGTAGAAAGTGAAGCTTAGCCATCATCTCTGCACGCTTTTCGGATGGCCCAAGTCTCTTCTTAAGTAGCGCACCCTTGCGTGCTCAGATGCGGGTGTCTGGAAGCAGTGTGACTGGAAAGCGGGTTGCGGGTCAAGGAGGGACTACGATACAGTCTTCCTGCGCCTGTATTACCAAACAGCCCCATTCGGTTACTGGCTTCTGTATCTTGATTACAGCACAACGCAAAACATTCTGGAACGGTGTTTCTATAAAACTCATCCGCGTGCCGGCTAGTGATGCAGCAGAAACCAATACCATCTTACCCAACGTTGAGCAGGTCTCAACATCCACTACTACACACCGTAACACACGTCAGGAGAAACACAAGAAGCTTACACCATGGCCACACAAGTCGACTACCCTCCTTCATCTTCCCGCCAAGGCGGTTCCCACGCAGCGATTGACACCAGATTACCCACGGATAAGAAAGGAAAGGCCGTAGCCAAGACCAAGGAAACCGATGCGACGGTAGGAAACGAGCCCAGCGGCATCGAGGAGACACGAAAGGACAAGCTTGTTCGAAAAGAAGTCGACGCTGAAGGCGATCCTAACAACGATGTTCGATCGGTCTCGCGTCGTGACAATGCTTCTTCTCATCACTCACAAGATGAGGAGGATTCTTTTGCAAGCTCGGGAGACTCTGATTCTGAAGCTGATCCTAACGAGGACGAATCATCAATCCAGGTGAGGAAGGAAGCAAAACGAATCAGGAAGGCTGAGCTCTATAAAAACCCCGAGGCGAAAAAGGAACATAGAGCTAAGACAAAAGCACGCAGAGATGCGAAGGATCAACAAAGAAAGGTACAAATCGAGAATGAAGGGATGCGCGGTTACACTGAGGCACGCAAGGCACGCAAGCCACCGCCTCCACTCCCGGCAGAAGTACAGAAGGTCTGGAAGGGTCTGTATCCTATGGTGAAATCCTGGTGGCTAAGGGACAGGAACAGTGAAAGGATTCCTGATAGTCACCAGAAGGCATTCAATCAGGCTAATGGGAAGATTAGAAAGTACATCGAAGGCGTCATATCGTCACCTGGACAAAAGAAAGCCGCTGAGCTCTTCATGGCTCAGTGGCCTAAGAAGAAACTACGTGAGAGGCGAGCTTTTGTCGCTTAGAATTCCCAGGCTTCAAACGAGGCTATCGAAAACGAGTTGGTGGATATTAAGAACAGGTTTCGAGTGGAGCTCGGGCTAGAGAAGTGTACCAGACAGGAGATGATCAACAAGTATGAGTTTCCTGCACAGCGACTCTACAACTCTATTTCTGAGCTCAACAAGCATCTTCGACGGGTCAATCAATTGGAGTCGAAGGAGCAATTAGAAAAGAAGCGCATCGAGACTTTCGAGCAGATAGAGTCGACCAAAGATCGAAAGCAAAAGGCCCGATTGGACCTAAAGGTAGTCGAGCTTGAAGAGGATATGGAATCAAACGAGCGCCAGATTGAAGACTTCCTTCGTGGGGCTTTGATCTTCATGGAGGAGACGTCGAACGGCATGGGCATCAATTCAGTTGATATCATGTCTACTGAAGCACGTGAGAGGTTCGAGAGCTTTATCAAAACCTCAGATCAGCACGAAGAGCTTTATAAGAAGCTAAGTGCCCAGATCGAGCGACCAACATTGGAACAAAATGTCGCATGGGAACTAGCATCCCGCCCCGTATACGATCTTGTTACTATCGTGCGCGATGATTCCGTCCAATCGGACGACCACCTAAAAGCTGTGAACAAGCACCTGACCACGATCAAGAGACACAACAAAAGTTTGCAGGACTCTAATAAAGCGAATGGCATCGGTATAGACGTAAACTGTATGCCCATGGCAATCTTAGAGGAGATGGTGGACCAATGGAAGAAAGAAGATCGGGACCAGGTGCTAGCAGAGATCGAGAACTTGCTGAAGCAACTTGCAAGTGAAGAGCCAGCAAAAGACACTTTGATAGCACTCGAGACGAACGAAGCACCTGACAATGTGCCTGATCCTGTTCTCGAGACAGATGAAGCACCTGGTGATACTCCTGCTCCTGAATCTACCTCAAGGACCCGGACTCAGTCTCCTATACAGAAATTTTCTCTTGGCCAGTTGACAGACGAGAATCTGCTCGATCTGGACATAGATTCGATGTCACTAGATAACGACCGCGTTGAGCCTTTCGCATACGGGAATGGTGAAACGGAATACGGACCGTTGGTAGCAACTCGCGCTTCAATTTCCGATAACCCCAGATTCCATCGCTTTATCATCAACGCTGGTATAGGAGAAGAGAAATGGGAGTACTTCAGGGTAATCAAGGGAAGTGACCTAGGTCCAGGAGGTGCTGAGAGTATGCCGCAAGACAAAGTGACCAATTTCAATATAAAGGAAAGGAAGAAAGGCCTTAAGAATAACCCATTGATAGGGATCGGTCCCTGTGTCGTCATGCCACGCGCAGAAGGCTATGTTAGTCGCGCCGGCGCAAAGCAGCGTCAGCCTGATACTTACGTCCGCGTTGCGTATAAGGGGATTACACAGGCTGATTGGCTAAGCAAAACCGAGTTCATCCAACTTGCTGGGAAAAAGTATGCAGAAAAGCACTTAGCGATCATGATCCCAGCCTACCACAAACGACAGCAGTACTTCGAGGCGTGCAAGGCACAAAGAAGGCATCCTAAGACGAAGCTCCCTTTGACTTCGGAGGACTTTGAAAGCCACCCATGGCTGTTTCCAGATGATGAGAGGATGATCAAGCGGCCCGAAGAGAATGATCCTATGGAGGTTGACGACGACGACGAATCTGTGATTGAAAATGTCAAGGTCAACGTAGGAGATATGCCAGATGTAGAGTCGCGTGATCCATTTAAGAAGAAGAGAGCTGTTCTTCCACTGAGCGGCTCAGCAGGTTCAGAATACTAGTGCTACGTAACCTTGGAATAATCTCTTGACTACAAATTTTAATGTATAATAGTACCTAGATAGTTAGCCAATGGGTTTTTCTTTAATACAATGCTACCACTGTACATATCCCAACGGGAACGCCTGCCAAAGCACTATGCACCGAGATCATCACCTCAAGGCGCGCTACAGTTCTGCCTAATACGGCCTAACTCACCACGGAGAGGAAGCTCTACCTGGTATAACTGATGCTGAGCACGAGTGGATGATTGGCAAGGAAAGATCATATTTAGGGAATCTTTAGGCGCGAGTGGCGCTTCTCCGTGGGTGTGTGTTGCAGATCTTAGTACAAGAGGCGGGTTCGTTTCCGGATGACATGTAGATGTGACAGCATCGTCACACATCTCAACAATATCTAACAGGCCATGGTAGCCAATAGCAAACTGGGAGCAATAGCGGCCACGCCTTCAGCGGCTGAATCTAGCTAGTCTAGCGCAAGAGTGGGACGCTGGTGACAAAAGTCAGACGCCGGTTGCGGGCGGCAGTCGGGCGCTGGGCTGACGAGTGTTGGAATGCCGGGATGCAGTTTCTAGAAAGGTCCGTAACTTCTGAAGTCGCGTTGAGAACTATTAACAACGCTGTGCGAGCTTTAGTTTTGCCTGCCTGTTCTTGTTTCTGTCGTAATCTTGTGCATGTGTCAAGTGCTGTTTGATAAGACATAGTATGGTGGATGAACGCTGTTCTATAATAGAGCTAGGCATAGATGGGCGAGTTCACCTCTAGCTGACAGCAGACCTGAAGCAATACAGGATAGTCCTTCAATAGGCAAGGTTCTAAAAGCAGAACAAAGGACCTAGGGTTTGGGCGCACGGATCCACAATGTGATAGTAAACAGGGGCATGAGACGTGGCTATATTATTGGCAAGAACGCCATTATGCAACAATCTGTCAAGCATGCCTGCCACTGGTACCCATGCAGGTAGACGATGCACCTGACGGTGAAGATGCATACGCTGCACAAAGTTTCCTACATGAAACGGGTATTACTGTAAGGGGCTGCGCAAAGTATGCCGATGCCTGGTAACAGGATTGTATTCGATGAAGAAGAAAACCTATCTATGGTGCTGCGATATCTATATACGTTTAGCTTATCGTTCGCGTAGCATCTTGAAGCTTCTAGAATGCCGAGGAGGCTCCGAAGGTTCCACCGAGGATCACTATAGCATCCGGGCTCTAGCCCGTTACAGGGACACCGCCTTGTTACATGCCTATGTAAGACAGTTACAGTCAAGACCAGGAAAGTAGAGCACAGAGGCGTTCTAAAGGGGGCAATCAGCATCTTGGGCACATCTACCGAAATCATGTACAAGCTCAGAATCTCGGGAGAGCATGAGTGGGAGATGCAGCTTAGTATGAGCGACCTAGCAGATGGGACCGCAACAGTTCAAGCCGGCGACGACAAGATGTAGACCGCTTCCCTTCTAACATCCCAATCTTGTGTATCCTAGCAGTCTTTACCTCGATCTCCAACATTTTGTAGCCTCTTTTCTGTCACACTCATTTTGTAGTCGAATAACATTTGCCAATATCCTAATTTCATTTCGCACAAGATGCTTTATGGACCAACTTCTCACTCAATAAAACCTTTTGATGCCCGCTTATCATAGGGCGATGACTAAATCAGCTGTGAGGCCGAGTTGCTGGACTGCGGGGCGGGTTCGGGGTCGTACTAGAGTCTAAGGTCGAGGTCGTATTGGCGTTCGAGGGTGTATTGGTGTTTGAGATCGAGGGGAACCACATGAAAATAAGTCCATGTGCAGTTTGCGGATGTAACGAACTCAGCGCCTTGATGATGTTAGCGATGATATGTGTAGAATCCAAGCTTCTTACTAGAAACAGATATCCGGACAGCTGCATCTCATCCATGACAGTAAAGTCGAGAACAGTTACTGCGATAGAAGCCGCGAGCAGTAGCAAAGCGAAGGCCGGGTAATAACGTGAGAAGAGCCAGCGTGAGTCCTTCCTACCTGCCCAAGTAAGGTATAGGTATAATGCAAAAGAGACGAGGGGCGAAACCCGCGTTGTACGTGGTGTTGGAAAACATGACGCGAGCACTACAGCTAAGAGAATAAGAGCTGTGACGATGCATTGACAACACCACCAACGCAAAGGACGTTGGTTTTTCGATTTCTGTTGGATTGGGAACCATTTGTGTACAAGAACCTGGATAGATGCGTTAGAGTTGTGCTTTACCTATATCGTATGAAGACTTCTTACCCAGTCGGCAATAGAAAGGGCACCGAAAGTGGACACTTGCACTTGCAGGCTGTGCACTGTGTGACCACGCCTCGCGAGGTCGATGGACGCAATGCAGGGCCAGCAGGGAGTGACGTAAACTAGTAACGGGATCGCTAGAAACAGGATAGACCACGGGGTGGTCATAGACCATTCATTACGACAGAGCAGGCGTACGGCCATAGGAATCCGGGCAACCAAGACGAAAGCAGAACAAACAACAACAGCAATGTCTGTAGGATACATTTGAGTATGAGCAGGAAAGGCGGGTGATATGAAAGGGGCTGATGCACGCTCTTATGTGCAATACCAAACCATGGGGCGAAGGGATGCTGCTAGTGGATGCATCCATGCATGACCACTGTGGAGCCCGAAAGCCGCTCGTTCACCCTGTGGCTGTTGGCGCTCTTCTACTAGTGATGCATTGTTTTTGCATTGCGTCCACCTCACAATAAACCTGCGCAGCGGCTTGATTAAATGGCATTGTCGTAAGGATGGGAAAGCAGAAGAATAGGCATGCAGTATGGCAACGAGAACGGCTCATTCACGTTTCGATGCGCATCTTACCTACAGAACCATGCGTCAAAGCTGAAGCCGCGAAACTTCAATAAGTAACAGAATGCAGCGGCGCAATGCTGTCGCGCCGTTCCTGCGCAATCTTAGCCGCGTTCAACCGTCGCCCTTCACATGCTCTTAGTGCATCGGCGAGTACAGATATAGCATCAGCAGAGGAAGCTTGCGCTACAGATGTTTTATCGTAAGGCCGAACATCTCTACTCTCTACAAATTCCAGGTCTTATGACAAGGGAGATTGCACGTGAGTTTCAAGAAATAGATCCTGCTCTTATCCAGCGCCGAGTGCCATTTAGTGAAGAACGTATCCATGCCCGGCTAGCAAACGAATATTGCATCCCCATCCTCGGCTATCACTCCTTCCGACCCTAGCAGATATACAGTGCCATACAGATCAATGGGTGTCAATTTCGCTATGTATACATCCTGAGCGGCTAACACAGGGCTTGAGCCTACGTCATCTTATAACGAAACCGGATGAAGGCTAACGCGGCCTCTACCATAAGCCTGTCGCGCCATTTAAAGGACGTGGTCGTTACAAATACGTGCAACCTGTGGTCACGAGCGTCTCGGACTTGGGGCTCATTTGGCGTTTCCGAATTGGATTTCTGTTATACTCAATTTCTGAAGACATGGGCGGGGAAAAGAACATACTACAAAGGATTCGAAATGAGACGCAATGGTAGAGATGACCTCATCGTTCTCGCTCATCAGATCAGGAAGAACCTTGCCAAATAGAGACATATAGTCCATCAGAGCTGGCATAAGTAACACAGGGCGGTCGTACGGCTGATAAAGACCCCATTCTTCCAAGCTCTTTCGTAACTGAGGAAAGGATGCCTGAATTGCTGCTTCTATGTTGCTGCGGTGACGTGCGAGCAGAGCCATAGGGCCTTTGCAGAAATCCGGTGGTATAGGCATAAGAACATGTCTCTTCCAACGGAGGTGTGCGATCCAAGTCTCAGAAGCGGGATTTTTTTGGTAGGCGTAATCGAGCGTAACAAGCACACTGCAAAAGTTGTCGAAGATCCTCTCGTGTGCGCGCTCGGTTGCTTGCACTGGACAAACACCATATCGCCGTTCACATAGGGGCCGCACGCCCTTCTCTTTCCAATGTAACAAATCGTCATGTCGAAGAGGAACGTTGTAAAGATTCGGGAAAAAATCCGCTTCATAGACGTCTGGCTGAACGAAGACCGCCAGGAATTCTCGGAAAGCTGGAATCTGAAACGTATCAGAGTATTATCACACAGAATCTTTCAACATGACTTACAATAATCTGGTGATGATCAGGCTGCGAGTCGTTTAGTGATAGCATGGAGGCAAAATCAAGCATCCCGGCCAAGGCCATGCTTGATGTGGGGATAAGACAAAACGGAGGGCATCGAGCTTACTTGTAGTATATATATCGAATGCAAGCCATGGGCGGTTAATACCCGTGTCTATCTCAGCGCATGGACGGTCGTGTCGATCGCCTTTTTAAATCGCGAGACTTCCGGCTTGCATTGGCCCGCCATAGAGCGCTCAAGGTGGTTGTACTGAGTTTTGAGTGTGTTCACAATAAGCATCACGTCTGCTTTGTCCCGCCATCCGAACGCTGTGCTCGTTGCGAATCCAGACAAATTTTTGTTCGACGCCTCCGATAAGAATCGCTATTTTGATCGGCTCAGGGCGCTCTGTAGTGTTTCGAAGGTTCATGCACATCCCATATACAAAAGTGTGATCCGTCCCGCAATTTAGTTTCAGACAGCTTTTTGTATTGGATTGATCTGGGGAAGTAGACCGGCGCCAAAAAAGATTTTCTGTTGGTGTGATGTTAAGGCGGACTTCATTCACATATTTTTCTCATGCAAGCCCAAACACCACCCGAAAAAACAAGAGCATAATAGACCAAGAACCCCAAACAATAATGAACGACCATGTAGTTGAAAGAACTACGAAAAGAAAAGGCACGAATGCCGACCGCATATCCTCGGGTGCAAACATTGATGACACTGTTAACACCACCATACTAATCATCTGTATATTGTCACCAGGATCAGGCACTGGCTAAAGTCAGCAGTTGTTCATTTGCGAGCATTTGTGCGCCTTACTATGCAAATTTCCCACGAAGCAGAGATAGGTCGAGAATCCGAAGACCCCCAGCAAGACCAGGTTCTGAGGAAGCAGATAGCTCGCCAGTAACACCAACCATAGTAACACTTCCCGATATTTGCGTAAGATTCGATCCGGATACATGCTAACGAACCGTGCAAGCGCTAACCGAGCTATCAAGAGGTGGACTTGAAGCCAGAGACCCATGGTCGGATGCTGTATTGAGCTTGATTCTGTGAGTGTGTGCGCGTGCATGTGTGTGTATGACAACCAATTCCTCGGTAATATACCCACAGTATTCAAAGCTAGGGAGAAGACCCAACAGCCCTCAAGTATGCGCCAATTCAACTAACACAGTGATGCTGTACAGGATAGCATCACGGTGTTCAATGTGTATCGGTTGTTTTCTGGATCTCGGCGCAGCTCGAGGTAAAACGAGACTAAGAAGCCGTATGTTGCACTGAAAGAGAGCGCAACCAGATCTGTTTTCAATCAAACTCATCAGCAAAGCTCTTGAGAATTAGGAACCACATGCCTTGCTCTAATGGCCTCATAACAATAAGTGTTGTCGTATGATAATCGGCCAATGTCAATACCAGTAGGTGCTGGGATTGGATGAACCACTCCCCAACGGCAATAGAAGGTCTTCGAGCTATCAAGTGTAGAGATTTTTACTTTGAAAAAAAGCCCCAAGAAGAGCGGGGTGATGGAGTTATATACAGGGTTTGCATAGGCAACTTCTTTGAGATTGGACGAAGCGGTCGAGCCTATAATGTGGGCCAGCGCACACTGCATCGGCGAGCAAGTATCTCCGCGCACATGATTGACATGGGCAACTGCTGGTGATGGAAACGTCATGATAAAGAGACAATCTACAAGGGCTTACTAGGTTATGGGTTTCTGCGAGGTAGAGGCACCTAAGCCATGTGGAGAAGAGACGTAGTGGCGTTGCCGGCCCCTGGTTGCAGCGCCTCTATACTCTATTTCAAGAATTCCCCTACATCACGGAAGTGATACGTGGCTCAGGATGCATCCCTAGTGCGTGATAAAGTTTATATCATTGGTGGGTGCAACATGTGCAGGAGACAGGACATGCTATGGGTACATGTTGTAACAACGCAGGCAAGATACTGGCGAGAGAATACAGTAGTCAATTGGTCTAGAGAACACTGCACGGATATGATGATGAGAAAGTGGTAATGCCCGCTTAGGCCATGTTAGCATCTATTTTAATGAGCTTCACCGAACCATCATCAGCCACACAAAACTGAACGTCCTCACGCTCCTCCTCAAATACCTCAGGCACCTCGCTACCAACGATGAAATGAGATGTCTTAATAATGCCGTTGACCTATATTTGTCAGCTTCAGCACTCGAATCTTGTAGGGAAGTTACCTGGTTGCATTTCGTCAGGCCCAATCCACAATTTGTTGTCAGGTTAGGGAAGGCCTTTAGTTCTTTGCTGCGAAGGAGAGGACGCCAGTCACGTGCAGGCTCGTTTCCACTGAACGTGTTGTCCTCTTCAGAAGCGTCCTCAGGGTGTCGTCGATCAATACTTTTCCGTCGAGTTGATTCTTCATATGTATCCCATAATTCTCGCGTTTTTGCTTCTAATGATAGTATCAAAGAAATCTCTTGTGTGGTTGAAAGGTCCGGGCGGTTGTCGTTAGTGTCTAGGTCGAGCGACGCAGTAGGTGTTCGAAGTACACAGGCAGTGGAGCCAGGGGAGCCAGCACATTCGAAGTCAAGATCTTCGAGGTTTGCTTTGGGTCTGATGATCATTTTTATGTACTCCCAGAGCGGTGCCCAACAAGTACGCTTGTGTCTCCGTGGCTCAGCAGTCATGGAGGACGGAGGTTGGGCCATTTGGAATCGGTTGTCGTGCAGGAAGGCAACCGGTGAAGGACGCAAGAGCGGTGAGACGATGGATGCAGGACTTTTCCGCCTCGCAGGAAGGGTTCATGATATATGAGTATTTCAAGCCAC